ACACACACACACACACACACACACACACACACACACACACACACACACACACACACACACACACACACACACACACACACACACACACCATACACAACATACCACACACGTATACACTTACATATACATATGTATAAAAGAGGAATATGAAATATTTTGCTTCTTTTTTTTACCTCAAATGGATAAATCTTATTTCCCATGGGCTGCAACGTTCCGAAATTATATCCTTAACAAAATACTGATTTCCAAAACAAGGAGATCATCTTACAAACTTCTAATAGTACTGACATAAACGCAAAGTGCAAATAAAAAGTTATAGTAATAACATAAACGCAAAAGGAGTTTCTCATTTGCAGAGATTGCAGTGACAACATTATGAGTGATTTGCAATGAAGCGAATTCTTGTTATCCAACTACGACATCTAGAAACAACAACAAAGAAAAAAGAAAAAAGGAAAGGAATGAAATAAGAAAGAAAAAGCGTTAGATACTAGCTATAATATTTACTACTAGAGGGTACAACTACATACACACATATACATCCTGGTGGCAATATATCGTACTATTAACAATATATACAGTACTAATGGGTACAACAACATATACATACTAGTGGTAATATATAGTAATAGTATCAATATATACAGTACTAGTGGCTGCAACAACATATGTGTATACTAGTGACAATATACAAAATACAGCATTAGTGTTAATATACAGTATTCGTGACTACAGCAACATATGCATACTAGTGGCAACATACAGTATAGTGCTAGTGTCAGTATGAATAGAAAAACACACTACCGTGTTGATATTATGGTAGAAAAACCCACAATACACAAACTAGATTTATTGAGGAAAGTGAGACAACAGTTTCGGAATCATCCACGAAGATTCCGAAACTGTTGTCTCACTTTCCTCAATAAATCTAGTTTGTGCATTGTGTTTTTTTCTACCACAGCGTCAGTATATATATAACATTACTGGGTACAGCAACATATACATCCTAGTGGCAACATAGCACACTTGGCAACCTCAGGAAGTGACGTGCAGTGGAGGGCCTCCTGGTTCTCTAGCCCAGACACCTGGAGAACCGCTGTGGGTACATCAGCTTGTTTGCTTTGGTGGGCATGTTCCTCCAGAACCGCTGGGCCTGAGAACGGAAATCATAAGCGGGTTTTATGCGTTGTACTGGTTTTCCTTTTGTCTTATGTAGGAAAAGATAGGAATGAGAATGAATATCTTGGCAATACAAGGGATGTATCTAATCGGTTTCCAATATATGTTCATATAAAAAGAAGAAAAAAAGGAAATAAAAAAGAATAAGAAAAAGAAAGAAGAAAAGAAAAAAATGTTTATATTCATATACATGTATTTCCGACTAAGATATATTCGAGACCAGTTAGAAACACCTCTTGTATTGTTAAGATATTCACTCTCACTCCTATCTTTTCCTACAATTTACCAACATGAGTATTATGAGCTATCTCTATGCTTCATTCTAATTTATCTTAATGCTTCATCTTAGCTATCTATGCTTCATCTTAGCTATCTCTCTCTATGCTTCATTCTATATTTCAAGCTTCATCTTAGCTATCTCTCTCATGCTTCATTAGCTTATGCTTCATTCTATTATAATGCTTCATCTTAAGCTTCATCTATCTCTATGCTTCATCTAATTTAGCTATCATAGCTATCTCTATGCTTCATTCTAATTTATCTTAATGCTTCATCTTAGCTATCTCATGCTGCTAATTTCATCTTTTGCTTCATCTTAGCTCTGCTTCATTCTATTTATCTTAATGTTCATCTTAGCTATCTCTATGCTTTCATTCTCTTAATGCTTCATCTTAGCTATCTCTTGCTTCATTCTAATTATCTTTAATGCTTCATCTTAGCTATCTCTATGCTTCATTCTAATTTATCTTAATGCTTCATCTTAGCTCTCTCTATGGCTATCTCTCTCTATGCTCATTCTAATTCATCTTAATGCTTCATCTTAGCTATCTTAATGCTTCATCTTAGCTTCAGCATTCTCATGCTTCATCTAGCTACATTCTATGCTTCATTCCAATTCATCTTAATGCTTCATCTTAGCTACTATCTCTATGCTTCATCCTAGCTCATTCATCCACCTCCGCTCCAATTTCCAAACCAAGCAAGGCCTTCTCCTCATCCACCACCTACAGCATGGTTGCCAAAGGCTCTCATGTCCGGCGCAGGAGTGATGGCCAGGTAGGAGTCTCTGTCCTTCGTGGTCGGGTCCCAGCGGAAGCCCAGGGAGAGGTCTGGCGTTGGGTGCCTGGAGGGGGGGGGAGGCAGAGAAGAGATAAGGGAGGGATGTTTATTGGATCTCTGTTTGATGGGTTGGTATAGGTACATATATATATATTATATATATATATATATAATATATATATATATATATATATATATATACATATATATACATGTGAGCGGGGGGGGGAGAGGGAGAGAGAGAGGGAGAGAGAGGGAAGGAGGGACGGAGGAGAGAGAGAGAGAGAGGAGAGAGGGAGAGAGAGGGAGATGGAGATGGAGATGGGATGAAGATGGAGAAGGAGAGAGAAGAGAGGAGAGAAGAGAGAGAGAGAGAGAGAGAGAGAGAGAGAGAGAGAGAGAGAGAGAGAGAGAGAGAGAAAGAGAGAGAGAGAGAGAGAGAGAGAGAGATAGATAGAGAGAGAGAGAATGAAATACAGAGAGAGAGAGAGAGCAACCTGCAACCATTGCATTTCATGTTGCGACATATCCTCAAAACTCAGATCTTATCATCTTTGTTTTATCTTCGTTTTTGTTGCAATTAATCTGATTTGTTTTCTCACTTATCAGTATAATTCACTGTGAATGCATTATTGTTACTTTTATCCTTATGTATGTATTTCATTATTATATCATTCATTTATTTTGCAATATGATGTATTTTGAACTTATTTATCCTTGTTCATTGTATTATGTAATTTGCCATTATTTTTATTGTCATATATCATAATATCCTAATTAAACACGATGTATCCTCTTATCATCAATTTCATCATCGTTACTATTAAATTTACTTCATGACTCAATGTTGTTTCTCGGTATTGCTAATTGATAAGGCAAGATAATTGCTCTAAATAATCTGCGATCGAGTTGAGACAAAATGACCTCTATTGCATAAATTCCATATACTGCCATTAATAATTAAAACACTTATCTCCATGAGTGTAGATATGAGTATACAACCTCTTAACAATAAATAAATAAACATATAAAAGATACGAAAATGGAAAATAGATAAAAAACAAAGATGAGGAACCACAACAAGACAAGAAATACCATTTAATAAAACAAATAAAGAATAATGATAATAAAAAATACAAATATTCCCTCTCAATTTAGAAAAAAATGTAGATGAAACAAAATCACCCCAACCACAGGGCAAGTAATCCCTTTCAGTTCAATAAAAAAGAATAATAAATGAATAAAAATAAAAAGACAACAAAACAATTAAAACCTGGTCCCTCTCGTTCAATAAAAAATGATAACAAATAAATAAAAATAAAAAGACAACAAAACAATTAAAACCTGGTCCCTCTCGTTCAATAAAAAATGAATAACAAATAATAAAAATAAAAAGACAAACAAAACAATTAACCTGGTCCCTCTCGTTCAATAAAAATGATAACAAATTAATGAAAATAAAAAGACAACAAAACAATTAAAACCTGGTCCCTCTCGTTCAATAAAAATGATAACAAATAATAAAAAAAAAGACAACAAAACAATTAAAACCTGGTCCTCTCGTTCAATAAAAAATGATAACAAATGAATAAAAACAAAAAGACAACAAAACAATTAAAACCTGGTCCCTCTCGTTCAATAAAAAATGATAACAAATTAATAAAAACAAAAAGACAACAAAACAATCAAAACCTGGTCCCTCTCGTTCAATAAAAAATTATAATAATAATAAAATAAAAAGACAACAAAATCAAAACCTTTTTGAGTCCCTAGCCCGAAGACACACAAGAACCTTACCCTGTGGCGGCGAAGGAGGTCCACAGATCCACCATGATTTGTTTCACCAGAAGATCCTCCTGTCTGGTGAGCGTGAAGTTGTCCATAATAGCTTCGAACAGGTACTGTATGTCGTCCCCGTGGCCAACCCCTGGGGGAGAGGCGGTGGGTTAGCGAGGGAAGGTCATACGAGGGAGATTCGTGAGCTTAAAAAAGTGGTTCTTGGCTTTTTTTCCGCCATTCTGTGGCCTCCGAACGATATACAATAACCTCCATGGCCCTATGCAGTGCCTGTCATCTTTTTCAGATTTAGTTATTAATAGTTATGAATATTATAAAGGTGTATACCTTAGACAAGAACACTTTATAGTAAGATTCCAATTCATTGATATGTGAGAGAGAATTGCATGTAGGTACTATAAGAGAGATAAAAAGATAAAATTAATTTCAATTCGACATCATGATTTTCATATTGCTCTATATACCCTTAGAAAGTACCATGTGTCCCCTTGTTTAGCCCCCCCCCCTGGCTTAAAAGAATGAATGTTAATAAGAAGATTTATTACCTTAAGCAATGATAGTGATGGGGATGCTTATGGCAGTGAGAAGATGAAAGGAAAAAAGACAATTCTAATAAACTTATTAAAGATAAGGAATTAATCTTGATGGCAAAAAAATATATATATATTGGTAATGCTAAAGATAAGGAATTAATCTTGATGACAAAAAAAGAAAAAAAAAATGGTAATAATAACATTCATGACAACTAATTTCAGCATCGTAAGCCCAAAATCAGAACAGAACGACTTAAACACGAACCACACCGAATCCCACTAACTTCTCCTCCATTACTTACACTCTTTGCCTATTTCTGAAGGTCCCATGAACAGGTCCATTAAGGTGAACTCGCCGCGGTGTTGTAGCTCGTAGGTGAAGACCCGGTGACCGTAGGCTTCCTCCCGCAGGTGGTGCTTCACGACGTCCAGGTGGCACATTCCGAACATGTGGTCTGTGTGGAGCTGTGGCGAAGGAGGGGGGGGGGGAGGGGGAGAAGCAAGGGCTTGTGTATGTGTGTGTTTGTGTGTGTTGTGTGTGTGTGTGTGTTTGTATGTGTGTTGTGTGTGTGTGTGTGTGTGTGTGTGTGTGTGTGTGTGTGTGTGTGTGTGTGTGTGGTGTGTGTGTGTGTGTGTGTTGTGTGTTTGTATGTGTGTGTGTGTGTATGTGTACATAGACGCATACACACACACACATATATAATGCGTATAAAATAATACTTCTGTGACGAATGGAGTCCAATACAAACGCAGGAAATCAAGCAATCATCATCTCAGTTAAAGAGATAAAGAAGATAACATGGGTTCTATACAAACAGGATAGGACTCTTAGCATTGGCATGACTGGCATGACTCGTACTGTGGTATGTAGAATGGAAACTGCAAAAGATCATGGTAGTAAATAATCAAATGTCAAAATTCCTCCTAATACCATGATTATTTTGAATTACTCGACCTCAACACAAAATAAACCATCACATCCTAGCCTCTCATTCACACAAGGGAATTACATAAGCTAGATTAAACCCCAGAAGTTTCACCTGCGTGTATTCCTCAGCTTTCTCCATCGTAAACTGCAAGGGGGAACCCAGGTAGTGGTGGTAGGCTCTTCTCGCCAGGTATTCGGGGTTCTCCTCCTGGTCGAAGCCCCCTTCCAGCGGTCCAGCGACGCTAAAGTTCTGCAGCATCAGTTCTGGGAAGTCCGGGATGAGGAGGGTCCCTGGGAGATAGAAAACGGGATGAGGAGGGTCCCTGGGAGTTAGAAAACGGGATGAGGAGGGTCACTGGGAGAGAGAAAACGGGAAGACGAGGGTCACTGGGAGAGAGAAAACGGGAAGCTACTGGGAGCACGACAGATAGCGGGAAGGTGAGGGACGTGGGAGCACAACAGAAAACGGAAAGATGAGGGTCACTAGGAGATAGAAAACGGGAAGATGAGGGTCACTGGGAGATAGAAAACGGGAAGATGAGGGTCACTGGGAGAGAGAAAACGGGGAGATGAGGGTCACTGGGAGATAGAAAAACGGGAAGATGAGGGTCACTGGGAGATAGAAAACGGGAGATGAGGTCACTGGGAGAGAGAAAACGGGAAGTTACTGGGAGAGAGAAAACGGGAAGACGAGGGTCCCTGGGAGATAGAAAACGGGAAGACGAGGGTCACTGGGAGAGAGAAAACGGGAAGTCACTGGGAGAGAGAAAACGGGAAGACGAGGGTCCCTGGGGATATAAAAACGGGAAGATGAGGGTCACTGGGAGAGAGAAAACGGGAAGTCACTGGGAGAGAGAAAACGGGAAGACACTGGGAGAGAGAAAACGGGAAGACGAGGGTCACTGAGAGATAGAAAACGGGAAGACGAGGGTCACTGGGAGATAGAAAACGGGAAGACGAGGGTCACTGGGAGAACGAAAGAAAACCGGAAGGTGAGGGACGTGGGAGCACAACAGAAAACGGGAAAATAAAAAAGGCGTGATAATGCACACACACTTTCTCTCTCCCTCTGTTTCTCTATATCACTCTCTCTCTTTATTTCTCTCTCTCTCTCTCTCTCTCTCTCTCTCTCTCTCTCTCTCTTCTCTCTCTCTCTCTCTCTCTTTTCTTCTCTCTCACATTCTTTACTTCTCTTTCTATTTCTCTCTCTTCCTCTCTCACACACACCCCTTACTTGCGGTGACGATGGTGCCTTCGTTTCTCGTGACGCCCGATATGATGTCAACCTTGTTATAGCGGCCTTCTCGCAGCAAGGTCGCAGGATGGTCGGGCAGGAACAGGCCGTCCACGCGGGGGAGCATCACCTGCGGCGCGAACCCCCAGATCTGGCCGCGAGACGGGGTTTGTGAGCGAATCGAGTGTGTGTGCGTGTGTGTGTGTGTGTGTGTGTGTGTTCGTGTGTGTGTAAGTGTGTGTGTGGGTGTGTTCGTGTGTGTGTGTGTGTGTGTGTGTGTGTGTGTGTGTTCGTGTGTGTGTGTGTGTGTGTGCGTGTGTGCGTGGTGTGCGTGTGTGTGTGTGTGGTGTGTGTGTGTGTGTGTGTGTATGTGTGTGTGTGTGTGTGCAGATACGCACATTAAATAAAATACTTTTCATTCATTCACTGAGTACATCGAGGTATTAATAGAAGTAGGTGTAAATTCCTTCAAGATGAGTAAAAAAAAAAAAAAAAAAAATACAGGCCTTTGGCTTGACTCCCTCTGCGAGCAATTCCACTTGAGAATCATTCAATCATAAACATAATCGCCCACTCTTCTCATCCAGAGAACTATTTTGATGATTGTTCAATAAAAATATAACCATTAAAATAATTATTTTTCATTATTTTCCATCCTTTTTGAAAAATTGAAAAGACCAAAATGATCGACCGTATTCACAAAGCATCCGTAACTTTTGTGACGTCATCGACTTTTGTGGCGTCATCGACTTTTGTGGCGTCATCGACTTTTGTGACGTCATCGACTTTTGTGACGTCATCAAAATCAGACGCCATGACACCTCGAGTCGCTGCTGAACTAGCCTCCCCCGCCCTCTAAGGAGACTTCGAGCTGCAACCACTCACATTAAATGCACTCTGCGCCATGATCAGCTGTTCGGCAGACGCGCCCCTGAGGCAGCTGAGGAGCGCCGCGCTGTCGAGGACGGGCGCCACGGACACTCCGGAGCAGCTGAGGACCTCGGCGAGTTTGGCAGCCACGCCCCTGTGTCCCTCGCGCATCGCCCAGGGGCACAGCATCGTCCCGGACTGCATGATGGCTCGGCGGAACAGCCCTGGGGGAGGAGGAGGGTGTGTGGTGTGGGGGTACGGTTGTTTTGGTGTTTTTTTGTTTTTCTTTCTGTTGTATTCTCTCGTTCTTTTGTTTGGTTATGTTTCGTTGGCTTACTCTCTTTCTCGCTTTCTCTCTCTTTCTCTCATTCTCTCTCGTACTTCCTCCCTGTCCCTTTCCCTCCTCCTCCCTCCCTCCCATTCCCTCTACTTCCCTCCCTCCCATTCCCTCTCCGTCCCATTCCCTCTACTTCCCTCCCTCCCATTCCCTCTACTTCCTCCCTCCTTCCCTCCCTCCCATTCCCTCTTCTTCCCTCTCCTCCCTTCCCTCTCCTCCCTTCCCTCTCCTCCCTTCCCTCTACTTCCCTCCTCCTCCTCCTCTCCTCTCCCTTTTAACCCCCGCCCCGACCCACCTTCGGACATGGGGGAGAGCACATGGAAATGCACCGACGCCCCCCCAGCTGATTCCCCGAAGAGAGTGACCTTGTCCGGGTCGCCGCCGAGGTCACGGATGTTGTCCTTGACCCAGCGGAGGGCCAGCGTCTGATCCTGCAGTCCGAGGTTGCCAGGGAGCTCAGAATCCTCGGTGGACAAGAATCCTGCAGGAGAAAAGGATTTGTCATGTTGCACTCACGAACGCTAGGAAGGGGGTTAGCGTTGCCAAGGATATTTCCACAAAAGCCGCTAGACTGGTCTTTAGTAATCGCTAGATTGGACTTGAAAAACCACTAGACGGACTTTAATAAATACTAGATTGGACTTAAAGAATCGCTAGATTGGACTTTAAAAACCGCTAGACTGGTCTTTAATAACCGCTAGATTGGACTTTAATAAACACTAGATTGGACTTTAAAAACCGCTAGATGGACTTTAATAAACACTAGACTGGACTTTATTAATCGCCACATTGGACTTTAAAACGCGGACTTTAAAAACCGCTAGACGACTTTAATAAACACTAGGTTGGTCTTTAATCGCTAGGACTTTAATAAACGCTAGATTTTTTTCCTATTACATTCCCCTCAATTTCTGCTAGGTTATTTGCTGTGTTAGTCATCTTTCCACTATTCATATATATATATATATATATATATATATATATATATATATATATATATATATATATATATATAATATATATTATATATAATATATATATATATATATATATATATATATATATGAAATTGAGAAGAAATGTAATAAAACGTACAGAAAAAAGGTAAAGAAACAAATAGCTACCAAAAAAAAAAAAAAAAAAAAAGACCGTGACGTATAAAAAAATAATCTCAAAGACAAATAAAAAAAAAAAAATCAACGCAAAAAAACAAAAACAAATAATAAACAAAAATAAAAATGTCCAAGATGCCATTCTCCTCCAGCCTGACCTAGCGTTCCCAGGCGGTACTGAATGAGAACCACGACCACGTCCTTCGCCACGAGCGCATAAGGCTTATAGTCCTCTGCTCCGCCGAAGACGAACCCGCCCCCGTGAATCCACACCATCACGGGGAGGTCAGGGCGTAGGGCTGGGAGAGAGAGGGAGGGAGAATGAGATAGAGAGAGGGAGGAGAGAGGGAAGAGGGAGAGAGAGAGGAGAGAGGAGAATGAGATAGAGAGAGGGAGAGAGAGGGAAAGGGAGGGAGAGAGAGGGAGAGAGGAGAATGAGATAGAGGAGGGAGAGGAGGGAGAGAGAGGGAAAGAGGGAGGGAGAGAGAGAGAGAGAAGAGAGAGAGAGGGAGAATGAGAGGAGAGAGAAGGAGAGAGAGGGAGAGAGGGAGAATGAGATAGAGAGAGGGAGAGAGAGGAAAGAGGAGGGGAGAGAGAGGGAGGAGGGAGAGAGATAGAGAGAGGGAGAGGAGGGAAAGAGGAGGGAGAGAGAGGGAGAGAGGGAGAATGAGATAGAGAGAGGGAGAGGAAGGGAGAGAGAGGGAAAGAGGGAGAGGGAGTGAGTGAATGGAGAGAGAGGAGAGGAAGGGAGAGAGAGGGAGAGAGGGAGAGAATGGGAGAGAGGAGGAGGAGAGGAGAGAGAGAGGAGAGTGAGGAGAGAGGGAAGAGGAAGGGAGAGAGAGGGAGAGAGGAGAATGAGTGAATGGAGAGAGGGAAGAGGAAGGGAGAGAGAGGGAGAGAGGGAGAGATGAGTGAATGGGAAGAGAGGGAGAGATGAGTTGAATGAGAGAGTGGGATGGAGGGGGAGGGAGAGAGAGGGAGTGAGTGAATGGGAGAGTGGGAGGGAGGGGAGGGAGGGAGAAAGAGAGAGAGAGAGAGTGAATGGGGTAGAGAGAGAGGGAGGGAGGGTGAGAGAGAGAGGGGGGAGGGGGAAGAAGAATGAGTGAAAGGGAGAGAGAGGAGAGGGAGGAGGGAGAGTGAGAGGGAGGGAGAGTAAGTGGAAGAGAGAAAGAGGGAGGGAGAGAGAGAATGAGTGAAAGAGAGAGAGAGGGGGGGGGCGTGAGAGTGAGTGGAAGGGAGAGAGAGAGAGTGAGGCAGGGAGGAAAAGAGAGTGAGTGGATGAGAGAAAGGGGGAGGGAGAGTGAAGGGAAGGGAGAGAGTTTGAGTGAAAGAGGAGAGAGAGAGAGGAGGCAGGGACGGAGAGTGAGTGAAAGGGAGAGAGAGAGGGGGAGGGAGGGAGAGTGAGTGGAAAAGAGAGAGAATAGTTGTGTTGAAAATAGTAGTAGTATTAGTGGTAGTACCAGTAGTAGTAGTAGTAATAGTATTAGTAATCGTAGTTGTAGTAGAAGTAGCAGTGCTAAGTGCTAAATGACATTTGATGTCTAGCACAATTATTTGTTTAAAACATGAACATTAAATAGTAGTACTAATAGTTGTTGTAATAGCAGTAGTAGTGGTAGTACTAGTAGTGCACCATAACCTCAACATAACCAAACAACACAAATCTATAATAGGCCTTTATATTTCTGTCAAGTTATCCGGCAAAACTATCCTGGACGCAGGATAAGTACACTTCAACTTAGGACATAATAGTAATGATAGTCATACTTACTATGGTATTACTAGTAATACAGCGACAACAACAACAACAACAACAACTACTACTACTACTACAATGATAATCAATAATAATAATAATAATAATAATAATAATAATGATCAGAATAATATTAATGATAGAAATAATACTAATAATGATAATAATAATAGTAATAATAGTAATAATAATAATAATGATAATAATAATGTTAATAATATCATTAATAAACAATATAATAATAGTAATAACAACAACAACAAATATCAACGGCAGGAACAAGCCGACTGACCCTCGGCGTGAACACGGAGAGATGGAGGCAGTCCTCCTCTCCCTCGACCGTGACCTCTCCTCCCTTGAACATCGCCATGCCGAACTGCGGGCACTTGGGCATGGGCAGCGACCCGTTCCTCACGCCCGCCCACGCCCCGGCCGGCTGGGGTTCCTGCGAAGAGCGGGGTTAGGACAGGCGGGGGGAGGGGAGGGGGGCACGGAAACACTTCCGGGGGATTTTTTTTTTTTTTTTTCTTTATTCATTCTCAAGGAAAAGGAAATACTTATACACGCGCACACACACACACACACACACAAACATATATATATATATAATATATATATATATATATATATATATATATATATATATTATATATATATATATGTGTGTGTGTGTGTGTGTGTGTGGTGTGTGTGTGTGTGTGTGTTGTGTGTGTGTGTTGTGTGTGTGTGGTGTGTGTGTTGTGCATACGTGTGCGTGTGTGTGAGTGTGTGTGTGAGTGTGTGTGTGTATTTAATAATACACATCTTTTTGATCTGACAGTTCTGACGGTTGGTTACAGCAACCGTTTAAACCATTTGTCAGATCGTATTTCTTTCAGATACTTATGCTGCGTTCGGAACTGCTCGTCTTGCTCGTCCAGACACCTTGTCCAGGACCAGCAGGACAAGTGGGCCGCGTTCGGAACCTCCAAGACCCTTTCTGCCCAGAATGCCACCGGCTCGAATGTAAACATTCACTTTTTTTATCATACCGGTGTCTTAATTTTACACGCTGCATAGGTTTTGTAACTTTTTTATGCATATTTAACTTACCTGCAACTGACAAACATAAAAATATCCTTTGATAACACCAATAAAGGGTCATAAAATTACCCACTAATATCTTGTGGTTACCTGCAACTGTCAGTGTTTACATACAAAATCTATGGTGACGTCATCTCGTCCTGCTCGGCCACCTTCGCAGGAGGGCGAGTTGGACGAGCTAGACTACTTGTTCGGGACGAGATAGTGGAGGTTCCGAACGGTCAAAACATCTCGTCCAACTGGTCTGGACGAGATAGACGAGCAGTTCCGAACGCACCATTACCGTCCTTTTATGGTAAAATAATCACATATTTGGAATCATGATCTTTCAAGGCATTTATCTATTCATCACATATCATATTCGTTTATCAATCTTATCTATAATCACTATTTTTTTTCTTTATGCGTTGTACAAGGTCGATTCTTAATGCGTTGTACAGGGTCGACTGTTTTGAAAGGTTGTCTGTCTGCTCGCCTGACCCCAAGGACCGACCGAGAGGCCACTTGAAGGAGTCCAAAGCTTTCCTTATGCTAACTGCCCGAAAAAAAGTGTGTTGATAGGGGGCGAGCCAGTCTTTGTGGGTGCCGGTCCCAAGCCCGGATAAATAGAGA